CCAGGACATTTGTCCTGGTGAAAACCTTTATTTGGCCAGCTCCCAACATGCCCACCAGTGTGAGAGTAACTTTGTTAGCCCCACTTTGCCCCAAAGTTCGAGGAACAAAAAATGAAGCCAAGGCTGCCACTCCAACACCCGTTCTCACTCTCCTCCTTGGTCCCTGTCGTCAGTGACTAGTGTTCACCCAAATTTCATGTCCACCCTAAAAGTCAGAATGTGATCTTATTTGGAAAAGGGGTCTCTGCAGATGTGATGATGATGTAAGTGAAGATGAGGTCACTCCAGATTAGGGTGAGCCCTGGATCTACTCCTGGTGTCCCTGCAAGAAGGGGGCCAGACACAGACACACAGGGGAGGAGAAGGCCACATGGCAGCACAGCCGGGAATGGCGGGGCCACAAGCCAAGGAACACCAAGGATTCCCAGCCACCACCGGAAGCCAGAAGGGGCAAGAAAGTACTCTTCCCCAGAAGCTGGAGGGGAGCACAGTCCTGCTGACCCCTTGATTTTAGACTTCCAGCCTCCACGACCATGAGAGAATACATTCTGGTTTTAAGCTACTGAGCTTGCAGTAATTTGTTACGGCAGCCCTGGAAGACTAACAGAGGGCCAGACTGGGATTTGTTAGGGGCTACTGTGCACTCAGCAGAAGGACATTTCCTGGTCCCCATTGCAACTAGGTGAGGCTGAGTAAGTGCTGGCCAAAGTGCTGGAAGGGGAAGTGTATGGAACTTCAGGGAAGACCACGCCCTTCTTCATCTGCCCTCCTATTGCCAACCTGGGATGACAATGTGATGGCTGGCTCTCAGCAAGGGTGAGGGGCCATGAGGACCAGAGCCACATCCCAAAGCCCATTCTGAGGCCAAAGCTGGGAGGTACCCGAGTCCCTCATGAGTCCTGTGGCGACACTTTCCAGACTTTGTACATGAGAGAGAAATAAACTTCCAACTGTTAAGCCCCAGTGGACTGGGGGGTGGGGGGGGGTCGTCCGTTATGTGCAACCAGGCCAAAGCCTAACTGGTCTAGGAAATGAATCCAGAAACTGGTGTCACTGCCCCGTGTGGACCATAACTGCCTTTTCTTATTTGCTTCTCTTATGAGGTATGTTAAATGTACAAGCAGGGGTCCAAAGGCCTTCCTGCATTTCTAATCCAATCCAGCTGATTGAAGAAATGAAGTGCAGGCCACCTTCTGAACACATTGCCATGAGCAACAGGCCTGCCTGGGGAGTGACATTTTCCAAACTGCAGGATAACAGAGAAATGGACACTTGTTCTTGTCCCTCGATTCTTCAAGTGTCCATTTTAAGGGAAAACCACACACACTCCGAGAACACCTGAATTGAGGATATTCCTGTTTAGTGCTGAAACGGAAACAGACACCAAATCCTTGGGTGCATTTTAAATTAAGCGCAAGCAGTCCCTTAGGCAAATATTTGTTCCTTCCCCCATTTTATTTCCTTTAAATATGAATTTCTCCTGCAAGAGAGGAACATAGTTTACGAGTCTCCTGTTACAGAAATGATAAGCTGGAGTTCACTTTATTCTCATCACCCTGGGGCAGGTATGTGATTACTCCCATTCTGTAGATGAGGCGCCACAGGTTCAGAGATGGTAAGCGACTTGATTGGGCTGACCCAGTGAACAAGACTGGATTCACACCCAGAGCAGACCTTCTCCAACTGCTCGCCTTCCCCTGTTGTGATAATGGCCACCCCCCCAACACACACACACATGAAGAGAAAAGGAGCTGGAGATTACTTCTGAGAACTCAGTATCAGTATGTGCTTAGGTTTTCTATAAACTAGAAATTTTAAAATCAGTGCATCTCCTCTTGCTGCTCTCAGTGCCGGATTGGTTAGATGCATACTGACGCTCTGCCACAAATTGGGTGACTGATCTCGAGTTGGACAGCTGGGCAGGAACTCCAAAAGGACATCTGGTCATTTTGCCTCTAGTCCCTAAGTCTTTTACAGGGTCTCCCACAGAGGTCCCTCCCGCAGCCTCTACTTACACATTCCCCATGCTGAGATACTATCTCCCCAGGAAGGTGACAGTTCTACTCTTTGGAGCCTTTGGAATCCAAAATCTTTCAGGTATTGAGGGTGGGGAATGAATGACCATGTCCTCCAATGACCAAAGCTTTTTAAAGAAAAAAGAAAAGAGGTTCCTGCCCCCAGAAATCATTCTAAGGGCCTGTCACTGAAGTGTCCTGCCCCTTGCCTTCCTGGCCACCTGCACTGCTAGAGCTTGTCACAGACATGGTGGGATCCAGGTCAGGCCAGGACCGGGCACACAGAGGAGCTTGGTACTGTCAATGAGTGAGTGACCAGGCCAGAGCACAGGGACTCTCTGCTTGTGAAGTCACTTTCCCTGGACTGGCTTCCTAGTCCACAAAATGAGACAGCGGGTAAAGAACTACTTTCTGCAAACAAGTCTATGTACAGAAACCCGACAGGGAGAATGGGCAAAGTCCCTGTGCCCCAGCAACATCATCTGCTGCTCAGCCATCCGTCCTCCCCACCCCCACAGCCACATCCCCAGCAGCAGCGTCTGAGCGTTCCCACTGCTCCACGTCCTCCCTAATCTACATATCGCTGGATTTTATTTGTTAATATTTTATTTAGTACTCTTATGTCTATGTTTATAAAGGACAATTTTCATTTTTTCTTTTCTTTGTATCATTGGTTTTGGGATCAGAGTTATGCTGGCTTCATAAAATGAATTAGGGCGCCTGGGTGGCTCAGTTGGTTAAGCGACTGCCTTCGGCTCAGGTCATGATCCTGGAGTCCCTGGATCGAGTCCCACATCGGGCTCCCTGCTTGGCAGGGAGTCTGCTTCTCCCTCTGACCCTCCCCCCTCTCATGTGCTCTCTCTCTCAAATAAATAAATAAAATCTTTAAAAAAAAATAAAAATAAAAAATAAAATAAAATAAAATAAAATGAATTAGAATATGTTCCCAATTTCTCTTTTCTGGAAGAGTCTGTGTGTAATTAGTTTTATTTCTTCCTTAAATACTTAGAAGAATTTACTTGTGAAGCCTCTGGGATTGGGCTTTTCATTGTGGGAAAACTATTAATTACAGATTTAATTTGAACAGCCACAGGACTACTCACATTTTCTATTTCTTATAGTGTCAGTTTGGTTAAGTTGTACTTGTTCAAGGGATCTGCCCACTTCATCCAAGTTTCCAATTAGATACGCTGTTCACAAAGTACACGTACTGTCTCTTTAATTTCTGTAGGGGCTGTGGTAGTGCCCCTTTTACGGTCTGTATACTGGGGATTTGTCTCTTTGTCCCTTCATCCGTGTTCCTCAGAGCTTATCAGTTGACCTATTCTAATCAACTTTTGATGTGTTGATTTTCTTTACTGATTTACTTCAGTGATTCCTGCTCTTTAAGGTCCTTCATTCTGCTTTCTCAGAGATTAATTTGCTGTTCTTTTTCTTTCTTCTCGAGATGGAAGCTTGGAAGTTTGATTTTCATTGTTTTTCCTTTTTGTCTAAAATCTGTTTTATTCTAAAGAACACAATTTTTGAAAGAAAGTGTGTATGTCCCCTTGAAAAGAATCATATCTGCAGCTGCTAAAATACTGTATTCTGTCATTGTAGCTCTGGTCAGTTCACTGTACTGTTTAAATCTTACGTATCTTTGTTCATCTATTACCTCTGTGTTCTATCACTTGCTGAGACAGAGTGCTATTCTCCAACTATAACTGTGGATTTGTTTCTCCTTTAATTTTGATGTTTCTCTTTTGCACGTTTTGAAGTTTTGTTATTAAGTGCTATTAAGAATTGACCCCTTTATTATTAAGAATTGTCCCTACTTTTCTTAGTTTACTCCTTGCCTTAAGATCTTTGACATGAATAAAGTCAGACCAGCTTTCTTTTGCTTAGTGTTTGGATATTGTACCTATTTTCATCCTTACAGTTTTCAGTCTAACCGTGTCCTCATAATCAAGATGCACCTCTTATAAATATCACTACTGTTGCTGTCGTTGACTCTAGTCTGAGAAGCTTAGCTTACTTGCCTTTTCAACCTTCTGCAGCGCACAGGTTCCAAGTCCGACAGTTGTCCCGAAGGGCAGACTTGTGGGGTGCCTGTTGCAGCCCCTCCATCTGGCCAGCTTTGTTTCCTAAGTATGGTATGGCTCTGGGAGATTTCACTCTGCCTTTCTGCCCAGCCTCACTGGCCTCCCACATCACCGCAGAACTCAGTGAATATTTTAGGATGCAAACCGGCCCCATGTGTGGGATCCTCTAGTTTCCTATCTTTCATGTTGACCCTGAGAGATGGCAAAAAGCCCTGCTCACCTCTCTCAACCGTGGTGGAGTCTCTTTGCTGGGGGAAGCCCAATCCCCAGCCCACACCCAGGATGAGCAAATGCCCCCCAGGGAAGAAAGTGGCTGGTAACTGTCAGCTCACTTGGGCAGGCTCTCTCTCCTCCCTTTGAAATTGTAGCTCTTCTAGATCTCAGAAATTCCACAGTCCTCCAGTCTTTAAAAACACGATTATTTGCAATTTATGGTTTTCCCCAGTTGTTGCAACAGAATGGCTGGCCTATTCCTATGTATTCATCTTACCTGGATGTATAAATGTGCTCCGGTTTATTAATGAAATGAATAAATAAATGCCCAGCACTTCAATAAGCTTCCACAGTCCTTTCTTCTATTAACCTCATTTTACAGGTGAGAAACTTGTGCTTCTGAGCTGTTCCATGAAATACCAAGGATCCCACACCTAGCAAGAAGAGTTCTAACTGCCCAAAGCCTCTTTACCATCACTAGGACAGGCAGGGGCTTTGCTAGAAGCCCCGTGCCTAGAACCATGTCTGTTGCGCCGTGGGTCCTCAAAACTCTTGCGTTTACTGCACACCTGTGGGAAGGAAAGGATGCATGCAAGAGGAGAGGAAAGAATGCATGAAGGAAAGGATGCACGTGGGCGGGAAGAAAAGGGTGCATGCATGCCAGCTGGGAAGGGGTGCAGGCAGCACGTACCAGCCTGCGGATGTCACGCTCGCATTCGCGCTTGATGCGGTGCACCTCGTCCTGGTGTGCCTGGTAGGCAGCGCGCAGGTCCGCCGCCTTGGTCTTGTCGGCCTGCATGCAGTTGCTGAGCGCCTCCTCCGCCTGCTTGCGTGCAGCCTTGAGCTCCAGGATTTCCTGCTGCAGCCGCAGGCGCTCACCATCAAAGGTCCTGCGCGCCTCCTCTCGTGCCTCGGCCAGCAGCGCCGTCTTGACCTTGTCGGCCGCGCCGTCCCGCAGCACATTCAGCGTGGCCTGCAGCCGCTGCAGCTCGCCCTCCTTGATCTTGGCCGTGCGCGCCGCCTCCTGCTCGTGCTGCCGGATGAGCACCTCGCGCAGCGCCTGCAGCTCCTTGGTCTTCTCCTCGTGCAGCTTGGCCCTGAGCTCCGAGATGTAGGCCGTGTGCCGCCGCTGTTCCTGCTCCCGCTCCAGCTTGGCCTCCTGCAGCCGCTCGCGCAGTTTGCCCACCTGCGGCCGGAGCCCCGGGAGAGGTGGTCAGGGTCAGAGCTGGGGGAGCCAGCCAGACCCAGCCGCCACCTCCCCATGCCACTTTGTGCACAAGGGCCTCTGTGACCCTCCCCAGGTCCCTGCACCCCAATTCCCCCTCGTGCCACCCCCACAGTCCTGACCTTCATCAACCCCACCTCTTTTCCTTCCTACTATATTTCCTACTATTTTCTTGAGAATTTCTCTAGAGGTGAAAAAACATCCGAAGATGCTGGAAAGGACAGTCAAGCCTTTGACATCTCTTCCAATTTGGAGATTCACAAGAGAGCACAATTTATCTGTCACAAAACACAAGACACACAGGCAGAGATCATCTCTCACCAAAGAGGAACATATTTTACTCCAGAAATACCTTTCCAGGGCCTATGCACTGGACTGGGGACTTATGGAGGATGAGAAGATGGAGGCAGAGAGGGGCAGACAGGGAGCAACCATCCTTACTGAGCTGGGGGCTCCCACAGTTCCCCCACTTTAACTCCTAGGAGCCTCAGGAGGGAGGTACCTGTTTTGCTGGAAAATAGCCGTGGTGACCTGCCCGCAGGGAGGAGCCAGCAGGGGACAGAGCCAGGCTCACCCTCAGGCACCTGGCCCCAGAGCCTGGCTCCGCAGATACCAGGCAGCCAACCCCGCCTGAGTGTATTTATCCAATCAGCAAAACTTAAAACATTGCTTGTAAAACGCGCCAAGGGAGTATTTTCTTAAAACACTCCAAAATGCTTTATTCAACCTTTTCAAGGATCACACAAAACACACACTCGGCAGGAACCCTTGCCAATCCATTTGCTTTCTAAGTCACACCGGTCTCCAAAGAACAGAAACCAACTATGTTTCACTGAGGACAAGCTGCTTCCGTGGGAGGCAGCAAGTTTCCCCAGACATGTTGAAGTTAATTTCGGGTGAGGAGTTTTACAATGTGCCTGGGTGTTGATCAACCCTCACTCACAACAGCAGAGAAAGAAGCAAAACCAGCGCAGGCGAAGACACAAGATCAGCATCTCCTTGTGTCGAATACTCTCAACCACAGAAATAAAATGGGGGACCCCGTCAGTCCTGGGTCTACCTCTCCCAGGGCTGGAAGTAGGAGTCTTTCCCTAATGGATTGAATGCCAAGGAACCAGAAATTTAAATACTGAACATGATTGCCCCGGCAAGGGACTAAATGCTTCTGGCATTGTCCTTTCTGGTAGGCCACACTCTTCTGATTTCCCTGGTTATTGCTGGCAAGGACCTGAGTCAGAAGGAGGGGACTGGCCGCACCCCCAGCCTGCACTGATGTGGGATACTGAGCCTCAAGACGGTTAGTGTCACAGGTCAACTTGGCAGGGCCACGGGATCAGGTCATTTGGCCAAACACCAATGTAGATGTTGCCATGAAGGTATTTCTTTTAAGATGTGATTCACATTTAAGTCAGCAGACCTTGAGTAAAGGAGCTGACCCTTCATAACGAGGCTGGGCCTCACCCAATCTGTTGATGGCCTCAAGAGAAAAGGCTGAGCTCCCAGATGAGAAAGGAATTCAGCCTCCAGACTGCTTCAGACTCATGACTACATCAACTCTTGCTGAAATCTCCAGCTGCCTGCTCTGCAAAGTTCAGACTTGTCAGCCTCCATAATCATGTGAGCCAACTTCTTAAAAAAATATCTGTCTCCCTCTCCCTCCCCATCCATACACACACACACACACACACACACACACACACACACACACACACACACTGGTTGGTGTGGTTCCGTGCATCTCTGAAGAACCCTGACTATATACTCTGAAACAGGACATCAGCAGCTGCCCATGAGGACTCGGGCAGAGGAAAGCCAAAGGCAGATGAGTGGATAAAGGGAAGTTTGCTCACAGGTGGACAAGGAGGAAAGAATGTGGAGGGGAGCAGGGCGGGCCTGCTGAGACGGGCCAGGCCACACCAGTGTGTAAGGCAGGGATGCCGACAGAAAACGGGGTCAAGGGAAAAAGCCCCGCTGGGTCCCACCGGCTCTGCCCTGAGGAGCCGAGGGCCGAGCCCAGGGGCCACGACCCGAGTCCAGCAGAGCAAGGCTGGGTTGGCCCGCTGTCTACAGAGCACCTGCTCCTTACTCCATCGATCTAAGCAAGTCTAAAAAGCAGCTGGCACTTCACCTGCCAGACGCCTCCAAGCTATTCCCCAAGTCCAGAGGCACAGCGGGAGGGAGGGGCCCATACCCGCTGCTCCTCAGCCCTTGGCTCCAGATGAGGCAAGAGCAAACTGACTGGGAGGGACCGCACCCTGGGGGAGGTGGGGAGGGTGGCTGGCACGGGGAAGCCTCTGAGCCAGCGACACCTGCCGCTCTGGCTGGAACAGGGAAGTCAGCCTCCCCTCCCCCCTGCCACCCCACTCCTTGTCCCATCTGTCAGTGCTGGCTCCCCGTTTCCAGGCCTGGCCACTTCTCCCACTCCCTGCCACCACCCTGATTGTGGCAGCCACCTCCCAACCAGTAACGCCCCAGCTCTGCCCCTGCCCACCCCAGACCCGGGCCTCGGCAAGTCAGGGACTCATGGGTGTTGCTGGATGCTTGGGACCGTGTGAGCACCGTTCCCTGGCTCACTAGCCAGCAAAAGCCTGAGGAGCCGGCTCCAAACGGCCTCTGTGAAGCCTTCCTGGGCTCTCTTGCCCCTACGCCATGTCCTAATATTTCCCGTGCAACACGGAGCGATGACACAGGGGTTTGCTGAATGAATGAATCAACAGATACAGTTAGCACTTCCCCTCGTCCTACGGTGTTCAACAGGATCCTCTGGAAAAACGACAACACTTTAACTGCAGCATCAATAATAATTTTATAAGATCATATAAAAATATCATTTAAATGCAACTGTAAGTTTTCTATTTCTGTTTTTCCTATCAGCCCTTAAGCACATTGCCGACTGCTCTGAGAACAGAAGTTCCCTGAGCAGCGACACGGGGAAAGCCCTCCCGAGGGGCCGTGGGGGTGGCTGGGCTGAGAAATCAGGCAGCCAGGGCGTGCCCCGCAGGGAGGCGGCCTGGTGACCCGGGGACATAGTCCCCGCAGGCCTGCATCCCAACCCAGTGCCACCACCTACACTTGTGCTGAGACCTGCTGTTATGGGTGGAGGTGTGTCCCCCAAATTCCCAATGGAGGTCCCAACCCGCCCGACCACAGAATGTGACTGTATTTGGAGATAAAATCTGAAAAGATGTAATTAAGTCAAATAAGGTCATCTGCGTGGGCCCTGGTCCATTATTACCGGTGTCCTTAAAAGAAGAGATCAGGACACAGACACATGTGTCTGTGAGGACACGGGGGAGAAGATGACCATCTCCATGCCCAGGAGGGAGGTACCCCAGGGGAAACCAACCTGCCCACACCTTCATCTACCACTTCCAACCTCCAGAATAAATTTCTTGTTGTTTAAGCCACCAAGTCTGTGGTGCTTTGTGATGGTGGCCCCAGCGAGCTAGTTGACCTACGCAAGTCACCTCTCCTCTCTGACCCTCAGTTTGCTCACCTATCAACTGGAGAAAGCCCCCCCGACCTCACAGGTCACTGCCAAGGTCAGGAGGCCGTCGAAGGCACCTGGTGTGACCTGCATAGTAGACATGTAATAAATGTCACAGCCAAGTGCCGGGTGACTGTGTGTGACAGGCAACACACGTGTGTGACTGTCCCATTCTTCAAACGACTCAGGGAGGCAGGCACATCAGAGGACCCCATGTAACAAAGGGGAAAATTGAGGCATGGGTGGTCACATGGCTTGCCCCGAGACCTCAAGGTGAGTTAGGTGGTGGCGGTGGGATGGAGCCCTGGCGGAACGACCTTTGCTTCCCGGTGGCCTCAGCTGCTGTTGCTCCTTCGGGGTGGGACTTGCCAGCCCCAAGGGATCCCAGCAGGTGAATCCCTCCTGAGCTGCACAAAGCGTGGACAGGTTGGCAGAGGGTGACCGCCCCAGGCGTGGGGCCCTGAGTGTCTGGGGATGGGAGGGGGCACATCTGTCCCTAAGCTCCAGGAGCCCAGCCTTCCTCCCCTCCAGGTCCTGGCCTCTACCTCTGCTCTCCATGGCGCTGTCCTGAGCAGGGGACTGAGTCAGGGCCCAGGCCCCAGCCCCTCCCCACCTGGGAGCTGGACCCCATCTGGCCCCCTGCTGCTGCCCAGTCCCAGTGCGCTCCACAAGACGGGACACCTACGGCAAATCCCCAGCAGTCCCTCCCAGGGCTCCCGGTGCTGCGGGCAGGGCTGGAAGGCACACCACCTCAGGGCCTGGGTATAACCTCCCCCACCCTGCCCAGAACAGGCCAGACCCTCGGCCACTCAGGCTGCCCGGGAGCAAGCTCCCTCCCCCTCTCTTCGCCCATAGACACCACAGAGCCCCATCCTGCTTGGCCTTCAAACCACCCAAGCGACAACACCGATGGGCTGTGTTTGGAATCCATGACACCGGATCTTTAGGACTTCGAACTGACTGGTTATTATTCCTCCACGGTGCCAGGCTGCCCGTCACGGCTGCACTCGACCTGGATGCCTACCGTCTGCCTGGCACCCAACCTGGTACCGTACTGACCAGCCCCAAAGCTCGTTCTTGCCCCACGAGAGCTCAACGGCCCCATCCCAGACCCAGACTCTGCTGGAAGCTCTTTAGTACCCTCGCCTCCTAACTCCGACCCACAGGTCCATCGGGGGTGGGGGGGGCGGTTATGACCCCATCTTGCAGGTGAGGGGGTTATGGCATGGACAGTGATGGAGCTGGTCCAAGGGGGGGCCAAGATTGGAACCCACGTGGTACCACCACTGATGGTATACCCATTTCACCAAGGGGCAAGCTGAGGCTCAGAGGTTGAGTGCCCACCCCCAGCCCCAGCCTGGGAAGACCCCCACCAGGGAACTCGCAGCGCCCCCTCCTCCGTGGAGCGAGGGGGCCCGCACCCCTCCCACCTTGCTCTTTTCCTGCTGGAACTCGATCTGAATGCTCGTCAGCTTGGCCCGCAGCTCCTCGTTAGCCGTTTGCACGGCGTCAGCCTCCATCTCGGGCCTCTCGCCCTTGTTCCGGCTCTTCTTAGACATGCTTCCTCTTGGCTTGAGACACTGAGATCCCTCGGTTCACACCCACCGGCCAGCAGGTGCCGCTACGGGCTCCACCGTGCTAACCAGGTGTGCAGGGCTCTGCTCGTCCTCCGCGTAAACCACCATCACTTGGGACTCTGGGGAGGAGGGAGGCCGGGTTAGCAGAGAGACAGAGAGGCTGGCGTCCTGGCCTGAGCACTCAAACACAACGGCAGCCAGCGCTGGCTGAGGCCTCCCTGCCTGGGCCATGCACCTGCTCATCCCACGGAGGCCCCGCCATTCACAACACTGACCTAGCACTTCTCACACTGGATGCCACACAATCTCTTGGAAGCCTGTTGAGGTGGAGAGCCCTGCGCCCACCCCAGAGAATCTGATTTGCATTTCTCACGAGCACCCAGGTGATGCTCCTGGGCGACCACACTTTGAGCAGTTCTGGTGCACCTCTGTCCTTCTCGAGAGGGGATCACACCACCACCCCCAAGCAACCTGTAAACCACCAGCTGCAGCCATCAGTGAGCCCCAGTTACCAAGGGTGCTTGTTTCAAAACGTGGGTCCCTGCGGAGCCCTGAGCTCAGAGCACGAGGTGCATGGTGGGACCGAGGAACCTGGATGCTCCATCCACACTCCCACGTGACTCTGGAGTAGGATCTGAGGATCGCACGCTGAAAAATGGCTCCCTGTCCCCAACCCCCAGACTAGCACAGCACTGGTCACACTGAGCCGCTAGCTCTGCACCCACCGGAAGCGCCTGCAGTCCCTCCAGGCCCCTGTGCCTGCCTGGCCAGGCCCGAGCTGCTGCCCAGTTGACAGGGGCGTCGTGATGAGCTAACAGCCCCACCAGCACTCACATTCCTCCTGGGGAGGCCTAGGCCCTCAATTTGGTAGGGCTGCCCTCACAGCCCACATGGTGGCAAAGCCCAAGCCCTTAAAACAAGGCCTGGAGTGACGGCTAGTACCGCGGCATCCTGGGTGCGACACCTAGACCACCTTTTGTTAATCTGCACAACTGCCCTGTGAGGTAGGTGACGGTGCCCAGCGTCGCAGATGAGGGACTGAGGCACAGAGAGGCTGAGTGCAGGCAAGAGTCACACAGCCAAGACGAGGCAACAGCGTTGACCCAGTCAAGCTCCACAGCCGGACCGGACGTGGTGAGTCCGAACCCAGACTCCAAACCCCGAGCCCTGGGCCAGCCGGACGCCATGCTGCCCCGCCCCTGACAGCACATCTCTGGTCGCCCAGGCCCCCTGCTCTGCCTTCTTGCTCTTTCCACATGACAAACCATGCTACACCACGCAGCGAGCTCCAAGCAAGCAGGGCCGGGTCGGTTTTATTCTTGCTGCATCCTCTGTGCCTGGACTCAGAGCTCAGCATGCAGGAGGCCCGCCAGAAGCATTTGTTGAATGAATGAATGAATGAATGAAGTACTTATTATGTGTCAAGCCCTGTGTTAGGAGCTGGGGAGCATATAGTCCTCACAGCACCTGGAGAGATAGGTACAGATATTAGGCCCATCTTAGAGATGAGAAAAAAACCCAGGCACAGAGAGGTTTAGTAAGCTACCTAAGGCCACAGAGTGATTCAGTGGTGGCCATGAGATTAGATCGCCTTGGGAGAGAATGCACAGTAAGAAGAGAACATTCCAGCATGGGTGAATGCCAGGCTTTGGAGTGGAACAGAAGACATGCAATCAGCAAAGAAGATCGGACATGAGCAGCCTGGAGACAGGAGGACCAGGGAGGCTCAGGGAAGAAGGGGTTTTAGGAAGTGGTCAAGATGAGGATGAGGATGGGAAACTGGCCACCAGATTCAGGAATAGGGAGTCAGTGGCCTCAGCAGGAGCTGCTTTGTGGGGTGGGAGTCGGGAGACAGGCAGGCGGACAGGAGCTGGGTGGGGTCTCACGGACGCCGGCACTTCCGGCAAGCGGCAGACCCTCGATGTCTGTGAGCTGAGGTCCAGCGTGCCTGGGGGCACTGGGATGTTTGTGCAAACCAGCCGATTGGGAAGGCAGAGGTGGAAGCCAGTGATACCCCTCTCGAACAGGAGGGAGCGGCGTTTCTCAACACGCCACGCAGGATTATTCAGGGGAGATCAGCATCCCCACTGACTGATTCCAGAAAGGTACATTGTGTCTGCAGGTAAGTATGAACTCCATTTGCTCTGATGTGACTTATGAGAGCATAATCCATAATTCATTCCTCGCTGCTCTGACCTGCCTGCCCTTAACCAGCACGGCAGCACGCAGAAGGCGCCCCGCCCCAAAGAGAGAGCAGGAAGCACTCTTCAGATCCAGCCCCCAGAACGGGGGAGGCTTCTCTCCCCTTGATTCCATCCCGTGGCCCAGCGACACCACCTCTAGGAACGCACTGTAAGGACTCACCAGAGATATGGCCTCTCTGTACACACAGGTGTTCTTCCCAGAAACCCAATGCTCAGCCAAAGGGACGGTTAAGTAAATGACACCAAAGGAGGAAGGTGAATGTCACAGAGCCAAAGAACAAATACAATTTCCGATCTCAGTTTTCAGAAATACTCATTCACTGTTTCCATTTGGTCACAAATATTTTTTGAGTATCTGTTGGGCGCCAGGACCTGGGGACACAGCAGTGAGGACCAGACAGCCAGGCCTCCCAAATGTTAGCCGTGACAGCCCAAGTGACAGGTGATGTTTATCTTCTTCTTTACACTCTTCCTGATAAATCAGATTTTCTATTTCTATTCCTGCTTTACAGGAAAAAAAAAAAAAAATGATGCCATTTCTCCAAAGGAACTCAAGCAAGTTTCAGAAAACCATCTGGGTCTAGCTGGGAAAGAGACAAGAAAGAAGCTGAAGGAAAAGCACGTGGGCCCTGTCCCCAGTGCCTCGACAGCCTGGTCTGGAGGCTGACCGACTCTCCAGGCACAGCCGGACGCAGCTGCAGCTCCGCCTGAGTCTCTAAGGGCTGCCTGCAAGGGAAAGGTCACCCGAGAAGAGAGGACACGGGCCACACCCCCTGGGACAGAGCTGGCCGTTCTGTAGGGCCAGAAAAGTGCTGTCCCCAAGCAAAGGGCTCTCCTTCACAGTCAAGTGTGTCCTCTCAGCTCATGCTTTGCTGACTGGATGGTTCTCGAAGAGTCACGGAACTTCTCTCCACCTTGGTATTCCCATCTGTTTAATGGGATCCATGGCACTGACCTCACAGGGATGTGTGGGGATTGCTGGCATCCATATCTATGCTCAGCCCAGTGAAGATACTCACCAAACAAAACGAAGCCGAATTTATTAGGAGGAGCAAGGCCAGCCTCCCAGTAACCTCCATGAAGGTTAGGATAACAGGTGCTAAGACTAGGCACCATTGGAAGGGGCCACATCAAGGTGTGGCCCATCTGGTGTCACGCTGTCCCAGCTTCTCAGTGGCCCTAGTACAACCTGAAGGCCCATTTCCTTCCCCAGCAGCCCCTCCCGAGGACACTGAAGATGCCAGGGAGGAAGGGGCAGCAGATGAGGTATCTGGGCCTCAGGGAGGTCAAGCGCCCGCCCGAGGCGGCACAGCACACGGGATGCAGGCAGTGAAATGGGTCTATTCCTCAGGGAGGCCCTGGGACAGCAAGCCCAGGGGAGGGGGGGAGAGGAGACCCAGCCCATGGGGAGACAGCACACCAGGAGCATCTGGGGGACCACGAGAACAGTGGCCGGTGAAGTCTCAGGGCCAGTCCCAGACTCCAGTTGTTCTCAGACCCCCCTGGCCAGCTGGACCCCAAGCCCCCTAGTCTCCCAGCCCGACTTTCAAGGCCCCAAGAAGCAGAAGGGCCAAAGGGCAGAGACAGACAGCAGCGGGACAGGCCAGACACCCAGAAGGGGGGCCATGCCTGGGGACGGACGGCCCAGTTCTTGCCTCCTCCAGGAAGCCTCCCCCAATGAGCCCATGGTCGGGCACCTCCTCTGAGCTGCCAGGGTGGCTGAGGGGTCTGTCAGCCCCTCTGAGGGCGGGATCTTGACTTCCGTCTTTGTAGGGCCTCTCCCCGTGCTCCGCCCAAACTCTAAGCTCTGTGTTTCCAGGATGAATAAATTCCAGGGAGCAAACACCAAGCCTGCAACGAGCTAACACCAACACTCACTCTCAGCATTTGCCAGGCCAGGGCCTCAGTAAATGTTGAGATGCGGGGACACAGGAGGTGACAGTACCCAAAGCTATGGGCTTAAGTCAAACTCAGGGGCGGGGATGGTCACAGGAGAGAGACTCCATTTACAGATGGGGAAACTGAGGCCCACACAGGTCAGGGGCTTACCTGCCTGCCTGGGGTCACAGAGGGAGCGGCAGCCCAGAGGGGAGAGGAGACCCGGAGGCTCCCCTCCCCTCAGCAGGTGGTCAGCGGAGCTTACCTGGGGTTTCAGAGGCCCTGGAGCGGCCAGCACGCCAGGAGGCCGCCACGGGTCCGGCGCCGGCTCCCCCCGTCCAGCAGATGCTGTCACTCATCACAGCAGCTGGGGTCCCCCCTCCCCTTGCTTCTTAGGACCCTGCCATCCCAGGGGCCGGCACAGCCCCAGGCGCCCAGCCCCTCCCTGCAGACGGGGCCGCCCGCTCCGGCCAGCTGGGGACTCGGGCCGCTGGGGCACTCTCCCAGCTGCGACCGGGGCGCCACGGGGCCGCGCCCTAGACTTCCTCCTGGGGCCCAGGTTGTTCCTCCTGCGGCCCGGCGAGCCCCTGAGAGCCCGGGTGCGGCGGGGAGGGCGGCCGCCGAGCGGGACCCGCACCCGCCCCCCACGCCCCCCACGCCCATGTGCCCCACCTCAGGTGGCCGCCCTGTAAGGGCCAACGTGATTGGGGGGTCACATGGCGCCCCGTGACTGCGGTGCGTGCCCTCAGAGACAGAGGGTCTCTCCCGCTCTGTGAGGTGACGGGGCAGCGGCGGCCCTCCCCAGCCCCCCGCCGCCCCCCGACCCGGACCCCGCCTCCCGGCCTCCACCGCGGCGGCCAGGGCGGGAGATGAAGGTGTGCGGCTTCCGGCAGGCGCTCTGCAGAGTCCGGGGCCGGCGGCCGGGCTACCGGAGACGCGCGCCACACACACACACACACACACACACACACACGCTACACACCACACACACTACACACACCACACCCACCCACCCGCGCTACACACACACGACCCCC